GCAGGCCTCTCTCAGCAAGCCTGTCCCTTTGGGGCAGCCCTTCCTGCCCACTTGTGCCTACGCAAGTGTCCCATCTCCTCTGTCCTTTTCCCTGATAAACCCACTCTTTAAATATAACCGAGTCTCTGTCTCATGGAGAAACTCGCCTGGGAACTGGCCATGGGCCAATGAAAGGGGAGCTCTGGGGAAACCTTTCCAGAGTGAACCCGAGGACCCCGCACTAACTCTAAAAACAACATCGCGTCCTGTTGTCTTCGTGAGTCGGCCTGGCCTGTAGTCTGGCCGCTGCGTGTCTGCAGGGGCAACAGGGCACCATCTTGGACACGTGGGCTGTGGTCTGGGAGAGGAGCGCTGTGTCTCAGGGCGGGAAGACCCATTTTACCTGTTTAGGACGGGGAAACACTGGGCGCGGCATTGGGTGAGGAAAGAGCCGTTTTGGGCCTCAGTAACTCGTTGCTTGCCCTGCTTGGCTAAATAAGCCCCGTAGCTGTTGTTTCTGAGCCCGGGCAGCCTGCAGCCATGCGTGTGGGTGAGGAACAGAGGCGGCGGCCGCTCAGCTACTGGGCTGTGCCTGGCCGGTGTCAGTGCCGCTGCGGCCCCTGTCACAGCCTAGACTGGAACTCCCTCCGGCGAAAGGAGGAGGAAATACTTGGGAAAACAGGTCGAGGCCATGTATAAGTACAATCAGCAAGATCAAGGTCAAACTAGGAGAACCAATAAAAGAAAATTTAAGGGAGAAAATTCAAGTTTTATGGAGATTAGAAATCTACAGAATGAGTCACTACTTGAAGTGCCAAAGGAAGCATGTTATGATTACTGGACACTTTGATAATGAAAACTGGCCTCCATTCACCTCAGCCAACAAAAAGAGAAGAAAATTAGTTTGACCTGTCTACACACTGAGGAGAGCAGCACACTCATGTCTGGAAGACCCTGTCCTGCTCTGTGGCAGAAGCAGGGGTATTTATACAAAGGAGAACAAAATAGGGGGGTGGGCAGGGCCTGCCAAGGGGAGGCGGGAGGTTAGGCTGGGGCCTGACTCTTACAAACATGTGTTGGGCTAGTGGGCCCCAAATGCCCAACTGTAGGACGGGGCCCTCAGAGTGACCTGGGCTGTGCTAGAAAGAAGCTCTCAGGCCTGTCCCCTGTGGCAGAAAGTGGGCTCCCGGCTCCCCAGGCCAGAGGGGAAGGTGAGGTGGCGCCCATGGGCCCAGGCCCAAGGAAACAGCGTTGCTGTGCTGACGGAGCTGTTGTCAGGTTAGATTATGGGATGTTCGCCCTGCTCTGTACTTACCCAAAGGACACGAGTATGCACATTCAAAAAGCGACTCATGACCACAAGTTCTATCTCAGTAAAGTTGCTTTAGAAACATATTTAAAAATGAGTTTACAGGTTGGATCATGTCTGTCCACATCAAAGGCTTGTGAGGCAGGAAACTGCCTCAGCCCACATGGAGCTGAGCATAGGGGCTCCCGCACTGACCCTCATGCGCCTCCTCTGTGGTCCTGAGCTGCGTGGGGAGATGCCAGCGTCATGGGGTTCTGTGATGCGAGAGACTCAGGCATGGTTTACTTTGTCTGTGGGAGGAGTAGACATAGTTGGTGTGTAGGAGGTGGCTGCGCAGGTTTTCCATTTTCCGCAGAGTCTCTGATACACAGAGGGGAGACGGCCCCTTGTGAGCGTGTCTGACTCACTGGCTCTTCCCCAGGGAGAGGATGAAGTGGGGTGTGGGGAAAGGTGGATGGAGTCAGGACTTGGGACAGATTTAAGAGTCACGGATTACTGTAGCAAAACCATGACCATGACTCAGGGATGTGGACAGAGACCCCCCTGTCCAGTGTAAAGAGCCGTGGGATCCTGTAGGCTCAGGAAAGCAGAGCAGCATCTCCTCAAATCTGATAAAAGAATCTGAAGACAAAGTAAACTCACTATTTTTGGTAGGAGCTGAGTAAGACCACAGCAGACCACAGAGGAAATAGGAAATGACGTGGGAGCTCCCTCCCCCACTCAGTGTACACGTGGAGAATTTGTTTACGTTTCTCTTTTTTTTTTCCTGTCTGAAAACACTGCTACTTCCTTCATTCCTCCAGGCTATTTCTCCCCAGCCCAAATCCACTCCTCCTTAGCATGGAGGGAATGTGGATCCCCCTTTCTGTGGGGGTCACTGTTATAGCATCATGTCTCCTCTCAGTCTCTGTGGGGGGTGGAGCCTGGATAACCCCACACTCACCCACATTCTCTCATACACACACAACTTTGCACATACCGTCTACCTCCTATCCACCCCCCATCCACCCCCATCCTGAAGGTTGCATGGAAATTTCAGCGTCATCACTGCTACATGACAAAGTTTGCAATGACTGTCCTGGACTCATTCTCCTCAGACCCCAGGTCGGGGTGTGATGCCCCCCACCCTCCTGCTGCTGCTCTGGGGGTCCCTGGCTGTGATGGAGACCTGGGCCGGTGAGTGTGTGGGGTCAAACTGGAAATTGTCGCTCCAGGGGGAGGAGCAAGGACCCTAATGCTGGTGCAGGGCCCCAGGGAAAGACTCATCTCCTTCCCAGGCTCTTGTACCCACCTCAGGTCATGGGTTCTCCCTGGCTCGCCCTTCTGTCTCTCCCTGTTTCCCCTGAGTGCTCTGGTCGCCCTGAGGCTGGGCTCTTCTGGCCCAAACTTACCAGCCCCCTCCAGACCAATGTCTCTGGGATCTGGGCCCCTCTGAGAGGAGGGTCAGCCCGGGTCTACCCCTGCCGGCCCCCAGGCTCACACTCCCTGAGGATTTTCTACACCGCGATGTCTCGGTCCCACCCCGGGGAGCCCCGCGTCACCTCCGTGGGCTACGTAGACGACACGCAGTTCGGGTGTTTCGACAGCGACGCTCCGGGTCAGAGCGCGGAGCCACGGGCGCTCTGGGCCCAGCAGGTGCGGCGGGAGGATCTGGACCAGGAGACGCAGAGCCAGAGGCGCACGGCGCAGACGCTCAGAGCGCTGCTGTAGGACCTGCGCGGCCGCTACAACCAGAGCCGGGATGGTGAGCGCTGTGGGCCGGGGCAGGGCGACCACCCCCATTCCCACCATAAATTAGGGGGGGCGTCCTGAGACTGAGGGTCCCATTGACCCCTAGAGGCTGGTGGACCTGCCCGGCCCCTCCCCCCGGGAAGACCCCGAGATCCTCCCGCCTGCAGTTTCATGTTCAGTTCAGGTTGATTCAGGGGGAGAGGGCACGTGACCCTGAGTGACCGTTGGGCTGACACGGGGGGTTCAGGGTCTCACACCCTCCAGAGACTGTGTGGCTGCGAGGTGGGGCCAGACGGGCGCCTCCTCCGCGGGTACGAGCAGTTCGCCTACGATGGCGCCGATTACATCGCCCTGACCCCGGACCTGCGCTCCTGGACCCCCGCGGACCCGGTGGCCCAGATCACCCAGCGCCAGTGGGAGGCGTCGGGGAGGGCGGAGCGAGTCAGGGACATTCTGCAGGGCAGGTGCCTGAGGTGGCTCCGCAGACTCCTGGAGCTGGGGAAGGAGGTGCTGCAGCGCACAGGTAAGGGGGCTCAAGGCTTCAGACTCATCTCATCCTGGGCCCCCAGGGAAATGAGATAATGGGCAGAACAGCGCCTGCTTTCTGGTCAGAGGGGAGGAGCCCCTGGGCGTCATATTCTGTACTAAAGAGACTGGCCCAGAAGATGCTGCTTTCCTGGACATTTAAGGAATCTGGTCTCTCCTGATTGGGGGAGATTGTCTCACTGGCTCCTTTTTGACCTAGCCACCATCTTAAAGAGAGAAAGAAAATCATCAATTTTTCTTTCAGGTCTTGTTTTTGGTCTAGAACAGTTTTGTACCTGACTCTGCTTTCTGTGTCACTCAGCCCCGCCCAGGTCAGGAGCAGAGTCTGTGTCCTCCTTAGAGACCTGCACCCTCCCACCCTGGGCTCTCACCCCATGATCCCAGATTCCCCAGGCAGGGCTGGGCTCTGGGTTTTGTGCTTCCTCCTCCACACCAATGTCCTCTCCATTCTGAGGATGGTCACGTGAGGCTGCTTCAGTGTCTGTGAAAGACACTGAATAAACCAAAATGTGATATTTCTGGTTTGTTCCCCTTCAGATCCCCCAAACACACACATGACCCACCACCCTGCCTCTGACCAGAACATCACCCTGAAATGCTGGGCCTTGGGCTTCTACCCTGCGGAGATCACCCTGACCTGGCAGCGAGATGGGGAGAACCTGACCCAGGACATGGAGCTGGCGGACACCAGGCCTGGGGGAGATGGAACCTTCCAGAAATGGGTGGCTATGGTGGTGCCTTCTGGAGAGGAGCAGAGTTACACGTGCCATGTGCATCATGAGGGGCTGCCAGAGCCCCGAGTCCTGAGGTGGGGTGAGCATGGGGACATGGGCACAGAAGATTTTCTCAGGAGGATCAGGGCCCTTCTGAAGACCTTCAGCAGGTCAGGAAGAGGCCTGGGGCTCAGGGTCTCCCCTCCTCTCCCCTTCCAGAGCCCCCTCCTCAGCAATCCACCCCCACCGGGGGCCTCATTGCTGGCCTGGTTCTCCTTGGAGCTGGGCTCACTGGGGCTATGGTGGCTGCAGCTGGGATGTGGAGGAAGAAGCGCTCAGGTAGGGAGGGAGTGGGGGATCCTGTCCACTGGGGGCTTTCATGTCTCAGGTTGATGAGCAGTACTAACCACACATGTGTGGCATCCAGAGGGAATTTGGTCTAGTCCCTTTCATCTCCTTTCTTCATTTTTCCAGTCCTGACTTGGATCACAGTTCTGGAAAGATTCCTTCTAACTTGGTCTCATGTGACATCTCTTCCCACAGGTGGGAAAGGAGGAAACTATACTAAGGCTGCAGGTGAGTGTGGGTCAGGGGTTTGGTCCCTGAGCCCCTGGGACAGTATAGATGGAGCCCCTGGGGGAGTCACCCCATCAGCCCCTCCTGTGGTCTCCTCTCTCGTAGCTCTGACCAGGTCTGTGTTTTTCTCCCCCAGGTAGCAACAGTGTCCAGGGCTCTGATGAGTCTCTCAACCCCTGAAGTGTCTTTCAAAATAAAGCAGATTTAATAAAATTATTCCTATTGTTTTTAGATTCCATTTAATGTTGCTGCTGCTTTTGTGTTTGACACTCCCCAGAGTGGTGTCCGCGGGGTCAGGCACAGAGTCTGTCCGGCAGCCTGATCTGTGAGCAGGGCTGAGGCCCAGAATCAGCCCAGGCTGGTCCCCCAGGCAGCACAGGCCTTGCTCTGCCTCCTCTTGGCTCCCTGAACGTCCGTGTCCCAGTCCTGGGGAACTGGGAATGTTCTGGTCAGGAATTGGGGTCTCCCCTAACAAACCCTCCTTCCGACCCATTTTCCCCCAACCTGTGAGTGCCCTGTGAGTTACAGCAGCCTTGCCAGGACAGGAAGGGCCTAAATGGACAGTTTCCTGCATCCACCAGGTGACACAGAGACTCTCCCAGAGCCCCTGTCAACCAGAACCTCCCCCTCCGCACTCCCCATGCTGACCTCTCCCCCCACCCCTTCCTTCCACCATTCCCTCCCCTCTCCATTTACTACTGTCCCTATTTCCACCTTTGGCTCATCTTCCTAGAACTCTTCTTGGGTTTCCCCTCTTCTTAGGGGTGGACAATCCAGAAGTGATGCCCAGGAAGGGGTGCTTTATCCCTGGAAACAGATACAGGAAAAAGTAACAAGGACTCTGGAGTAGAAGTTCCCATCGAGGGACCAAGGACACCCTGTATTATTTGGGGGCCCATCTGGAACTTGGGAAACAACTGTGATCTTGGAGTCCAGACTGCGTCCTGAAGTTGAGTCCATGCTCACTCACTGACCCTGGGCCTGGGCGCCCCTTTGTGAGCAGATCCCTGTCCTGCAGCTGGAAGCCCAGGGCGCCCTGGGCGCCTGGCTGAGCTGGAGAAAGGGCAGCTCTGGGCTCCTGCGCTCAGCCCTGCGGCCACACGGGGGCGCTGCCGCGCTGCTCTGGTTCTGGCTGAGCCGCCAGGACTGGTGGGGTCTGAGTGGGCAGAGTGGGTTGTCCTCAGGGGCAGCATCCTGGGTGCTGAGATGCTCAATGGGGAGTCAGACAACAGGGCCATGGGGGAGAGGAGATGAGGAGCCCTGCCCTGTTTGTGAGGTTTCCAGCTTTTCTCCCAGGACCCTCCTCTCCAGTCCTGGACTACAAAACCTGGAAAAACTGAAAAGTAGCCAATTATTTTCCTTTTACAACCTATTAATTATTGAGGGTATTTTAAAAATACTGTTAGACGTACAGGAAAGTTGCGAAGGTAGGACAGTTTCATTCATTCTACATCATTTCCCTTGATAGCAACAGGTGGGGAAACCGGAAAGTAGATACTTTTTTTTTCTTTTAAAACCTGAGAATGATTTTTAAAAAATAACTTTAAAAAGCTGTTAGATTACAGGAAAGTGGGGAAAGTAGTGAGTTCCTGCATGTCCCACTGCCTGTCGCAGTGTCGCTTGGCATCTGACGTGGCCTTGCTGGCTTTGTGCAGCTGGGGAAGCAACAGCGGCCGCCGTCCCTCCGCCGCGCTCTGCCCGGCGTCTGTAGTTTCCCAAATGCTCCTGCAGGTCCCAGGATTCCACCCAGGACCCTCAGACCAACCACAGCTCTGTAGGGCGTCTCCGGCTGACCGTTTCTCAGACTTGCCCTGTGTGATGACAGTGACACCGAGGAGCCCTGCTCAGCTAATGTCGTCCCCTGTCTCCGGGTTTGACTGTGGGCTCAGGAAAGCAGACCCCAGGGGTGCAGGGCCATTCTCCATGCAACACGTCAGTGCGCACAGCACCCACCAGACTGATGGATGACGCAGTTTCCCGGATTTCTTCCTTTCTTTTGTTCCCTTAAGATTCCACAATGAAGGAAGCCACTGTGGCTCACACTTAAAGGGTTGTCCGCTGTGCGTGTTTGCGGGAGTGAGTACGGAACTGGGAATAGGCCAGAGGTACAGAGGGTGAGAGGATTCACCAGAGACAGAGTGGGGAGCAGAACAGGCAGATGGACTGAAACACACTGCTGAGGGGAGCAGCAGGTGGGCCAGGAGAGGTCTGCTGTACCCTGTGGGTCAGCTCCCTGGCTGGGGATTGAACTCGTGCTGCAGTGGCTGCAGTAGCTTCATAGTGCTGAGACTTAACCAGCTGCGTCACCAGGGAGGGCCTTGCTC